AGGCACTCTAGTTCACCCATTTTATTATTTAGACTTCTAGACCCGAGAAAGCCTAAATTTCTACACTACCTGATTTGGAGCAGGGACTTAAACCCAGGTTTCCCATGTCCCACGTGAGTGCTATGAGCACCAGGCAAATGGCTATTCTGGGTGGGACTCTCAGTCTCTCTGTCTGGAGCTGTTCCACTTTGTGTAAATAAACTCTTTTTTTTTTGTATTTTATTTTTATTTTTGTTTCTTATGTAACTAACTCTAATCTCTACGCCTGTTGCTTATAATCATTTCAAATCTATCTTGTGTAGTTAATAAATTTGTTTTACCTAAAACGTGTTTTGGTTCAAGTTCTTAGGATATAGCTATTCAGGCCTGTCTGCGAAGGCCTATACTTTAAGAATTTAGGTGTATTCTTATCACGTAGCTAGTTCTAGAGGTATAAAAGAAAGAATCAAAATCACTGTCTGCCGGTGTAAGGGCCTTTTCTCACTGTGACAGTCTGAGGCCCTGTTCTTAGGTTAAGGCCTTTGGCTAAGCCCCGGGGCAGCCGTAAGCTGGGAAGTGAACGGTCACATCCTCACATCCCAAACCCATCACACTGAAATCAGGCGATCTGGGGCTGTTCGGAAGGTGATCGATCTATCAGCTCCAGAGAAAGGGAAGAGCCTAGAAGATGTAAAAGGAAACTTAGTCTGATAGCATCCTGCCTGGCAAGAACTCACTTATCAATAGCTGGGATGTGAAATCGTCATTTCTGTATTGTTCTGTCACTGTAGTCTCCACTTCCCTGTTGCTTGTCTGTATAATCTCTGTCTGGTTCTGTGATTGTTTCTGTCTGCTGTATAATTAATTTTGTTGGGTGTAAACCAATTAAGGTGGTGGGATATAATTGGTTACATAATTATGTTACAATGTATGAGGATTGGTTCGTTAAATTTAAGTAAAATGATTGGTTAAGGTAGAGCTAAGCAGAACTCAAGTTTTACTATATAGTCTGCAGTCAATCAGGAAGTAAGGGGGGAATTGAAATCATGTTTTGATAAGGGGGGAATGGGAACAGGGACTGGGAACAGGGACACAGGCAAGGCTCTGTGGTGTCAAAGCTGGGAAAGGGGACACTGAGGAAGGAACTTGGAATCATGCTTGCTGGAAGTTCACCCCAATAAACATCAAATTGTTTGCACCTTCGGAGTTCGGGTATTGTTGCTCTCTGTTCATGCGAGAAGGACCAGGGAAGTGAGCAGGTGAAGAAATAAGCCCCCTAACACAAGTGCTTGGGAAATCTCAGCTCAGGTTACAAAGGTTAGCACGCATCCTCTTCACATCGAGGGAGGGACGGACTGGGTAACAATCTTACACGGGCCAGGCTTTGGACCAGGGCAGGACAGTGCAGATCCGGGGTGGAAGGCTGGGGAGCTGGGGGAAATTCGCTTGAGCCTCTTTAGTGTTAGTTATGAGTGGCTTGGAGTTTATTCATGTAACTCAGCTGGGTATGTCCCTGCCTGTGGATGTCTGTGTAAGCGCAGTACCTGCCAGAGGTTTGAGGCTTGACTCAGCATCACAGAGAGAGAGGGATACCCCAGGTGGTTGGAGGTCTCAGCTGTCCCACAGTCCTGGTTCCACCACAGGGATCCCATCACAGGAGTTTGGTCCTTGGGCTAGTCCCAGATAATACAGGGACTCTCATATGATCCCTTCTCTGGTCAAGTTGTTCAAAGCCAAGGGAGCTGACTGGTGATGCTTAGAGGAAACCGCCAAGTTCACAGATGTCCACCTCTCACTTTTAAAGAACGCTTTCCTCCTTTCTTTGTACAAGGACCAGGCTCCCTGCATCAAAATGTTTTTATCTGCTCTTCCCGTCCTCCAGTGGCTCTAGTGTCCCAGCTGCTTGCCCTGCTAGAACCCGAGCAATGTCCCTTCCTTAGGTGGGTAGCAGCTGTAGCACCATCGTGGGACGAGAACATGGTGTGATGCTGTATGATTGAATATGACCATTTATATCATTGTTGTTATCATTGTTATACAATTGCAACAAAGCTTGTGCAAAGTATGTCATGTCAGGAGTCAATGGGAAAATTATGTTTTGCTAAGTATGATTATCCAGTTTATAGGCATGTATCATATTTGTGTCTGAAGTTATGAATATTGGCAATGTACTGGTATGGGCTTTTTTGGGGAGAGTAAAATTCTATGCAGAGGGTAGAGAATATAAAAGAGCCCCCTAGACATCTCCATCTTCTCTTCAGTTCTCTGGACTGAGTTTCCAACACAGAAACTCTGAACAAAGACTGATGACCCCCAACTTGCTTGCGTAATTTCCAGAGTTTTTTGCAAGCTAGGAGTTTATTCCACCACTTCTATGATCCTGATCCCTGAACACTGAAAAATCACTTGCATGTCTCTGATCTATAAACCGTTTATGGCTCCTCTTCTTTTAATATATTATGAAACCGTTACTTTTCAATTGCTGAAGGATTGGCAGCAGCGTGATCACTGGGTAAGATGTGAGTTATATATTGACCTGGCTAAGTGGCTGGTCTCTTGAGATTAGCAGGACACTGGGGGGTGGAGGGATAGTTCAGTGGTTTGAGCATTAGCCTGCTAGACCCAAGGTTGTAAGTTCAATCCTTGAGGGGGCCACTTAGAGATCTGGGGCAAAATCATTACCTGGTCCTGCTAGCAAAGGCAGGGGACTGGACTTGATGACCTTTCGGGGTCCCTTCCAGGTCTATGAGATGGATATATCTCTATATTATATTATATTATATATGTGGTGAAACTGGTTTTCACTGACCTCATCATGGAGTCAAGTGTCAGGGTGGTTAGCCAAGGGCTGGGATGCCTCAGGAAACTGTATTTTTGGCTTCTAGTTAACCAGGGTGGTGAGACAGAAATTTACATTTGTTACTGGCTTGGTATAATCTAATGATAGAACAACCCCCAGTCTGAGGTAAGTCTGCCCTATTTCTCAGCAGTTTGTCCTGAATTTGGCATCCTTAGCTGTGTCCCACTAAGGCACGGTCACACTTGGACACAGAGTTTACTGTTGATAGGTGAATCACAGACTATTGCTCACTACTCTCTGGACGTATCCCCCTTTTACAGATGGGGAAACTGAGGCAGCAGGAAGGGAAGTGTCTTGAGCTGGGAACATAGCCCACAAGTCCCTAGCTGCCAATCCCTTGCTTAGTCTCTCTCAGACCTGGCTTGTACGGTCCATGCAGCAGCACAGAGGCATGGTGCTCTCTCTCCATTGGTTTCTCTAGTGCAGGGGATCTCTACTGATTTCAGTGGGGCTGCTCCCACTTACAGGAGATGAGGATTTGGCCCAAGACATTTAACTAGAGCTAAAGCATCAGCAGAGACCAGTGAGCTGGGAGAGAGGAGTCCCAGCTCTGCCACAGATTAGCTGCGTGACCTTGGGCACAGATTCTCCCTGCATTAAATGGAGATGATTAGTTATTATTTCTAATGTGTTGCTATCGAAAGGTCCTAATCAGGGCCTTCGAGTCACACGCGGCACTGATTTGGTTCCTGGTTGCACATCATTGGTCTCTATGCACTGTGCAGAGTTCCAGGCAGCGTGTGGTCCCTGGTAAACAAGCAAGAGAAGACTGAAAACTGAGCTGTGTGTAAACCTGTTTTTGTGGCTGTAGGTTTTAGCTGTTTCTTTAATAAATGGCTCCTCTTTAAGAAGGACGGCAACTCCATTGATCATGACACACAAATAGCCTCACTGCATCCACCACAACCCAGAGGAGCAATGCCAGTTCATGGCCAAAGCAATGGTGCTTGGGAGGTCAGGACTCCCGGTTCCTATTCTGAGCTCTGCCACTGACTCATTGTGTGGCCTTGGGTAAATCACTTTACCTCTGCTTTGTTCATCAATAGCATGGGGATGACGCCGCCCAGGAGCCTAGCAAAGGAGATTCTAGATGTAGTGATCAAAAACGTCATGCAGAAGATAAGTTAGACTCAGCTTCACTGTTCAGCTTCACCCCTGGGGCAATGGGTGCCCTGTAGTTTCAGATAAAATGACGTGTACGTGTGTAAATAGTCGGCTAATGGAAAGTGTGCCATTTATCTTCCTTGCTATGAGCCACTGAAGCCATCACAGCCTCTGCCCAGTGTCCTGCCTTCGCAGCTAATGCAGGGGACCATCCTTCTGCCTCTCTCAACTGTTATCCACCTAGCTTCAAAGCTGATCCCTGGCCCTGCCCCCAAGGCTTGGCTCATAGCAAATGTCTCCCAACCCATATCCATTGCAGGGACCCCGCCGGCTACAGGTTCCCACCCAGGACGAATAAAAGGGAACAAAAAGCTAAAGAAATAAGCCACACAGAACTTTGTAGCTGATCTTTAGTACCCACAAGCTGTATGATATACAGGCTCACCCTCCTGCAACACAACCCTGCTCCTAACCCCGCAGCTTCTTTTATATGGATTCCTGGCTTTCCTCTCCACTTCTCATCTGCCTGTCGGCCCCAGCACTGCATCCTTTCTGCACTCACTGCAGGCTCCTTGTCAGCCTCCAGCAGCTCCTGTCCCAGCCCCGAAGCAGAGGGAGCACATCTGGGCGAGGAGGGAGGTCGGGATGATCCACAAAGTTTATGGGGTCGGGGAGGAAAGGAACGAGCAACAGGGCTGTGACTCGGGGGAAAGTGGCAGAACAGAGTTGGGGATGTGGGGGAAGAGGTGGAGAAGGGTGCAGGGTCTTGTGGGAATATTTAGGACAGGGGGAGGGGCCTTGTGGAAAGAAGTGATGCGGGGGCCAGGAGCTGGGGGAATAGGCAGTGAAGGGCATGTGGCCTCAGCGGTCCAGTTACCAGTAATTAGAAAGGTGACAATCCTGTAAGTTAATGAGTTGTACATAAACCAAATCCGCAGTTTGTCATGCTGACACAGCACAGCAAGGTCAGGAAAGGGATTCAGGAAACAGGGCCCAGTACCATGTCACCAGCCAGCTCTGCATGGAGGTCAGTCTGAGAGAGCACCAGGAGAAAACTTTAGGATTCTTCATGAGTAAAGAGCCGGAGCAGCCTGCCCCGGATTTCTTTGGTCCTCACCCCATAGATGATGGGGTTTAGCATGGGGGGCATCAAGAGGTACACGTTGGCAATGAGAACGTGGAAATGCAGGGCCACATTGTGGCCAAACCGGTACATTAGGGAGATGAAGAGACCTGGGATGTAAAAGGCTAAAATGACAAAGATGTGGGAGCTGCAGGTCTCAAAAGTCTTGAGCTGGACATCCTTTGAGGGGAGGCTGAAGACGGCCCTGAGGATCTGGATATAGGACACGGTGATAAAAATCACATCCAGACCCATCACACAGAATAGCACAAAGAGACCATAGTAACTACTGACGCGGGTGTCGGCACAGGCCAGATTCACCACGGCTATATGTGCGCAGTACGGCTGGGGGATGATATTGGTTCTGCAATATGGCCATTGCCTCGCCAGGATCAGAAGGGGCAGTACGACTATGCACCCACGCAGCATCACGGCCAGGCCGATCTTGGACACAACAGGATTTGTCAGGATGGTGGAATGCCTCAGGGGGTCGCAGATGGCCACATAGCGATCAAAAGCCATGGCTACAAGGATCCCAGACTCCATCTCTAAGGAGCAATGAATAAAGTACATCTGGGTGAGGCAGGCACTGAAATCGATCTCCCTGGAATTGAACCAGAAGATGCTCAGCATTTTGGGAAGGGTTGAGGTAGTCAGGACCAGGTCAGTGACGGCTAGCATGCAGAGGAAATAGTACATGGGCACATGGAGGCTTGATTTCGTCTTCACGATGAACAGAATGGTGAAGTTCCCCAAGATGGCTATGGTGTACATGGTGCAGAAGGGTATGGAGATCCAGACGTGGGCTGCCTCTAGCCCAGGAATGCCCAGAAGGATGAAGGTAGAGGGGTTGGTGAAGTCAGTTGCGTTGGAATCCGACATGGAGTAGGGGAGAAGGTGTTCAACTCAGAGTCAGAACGATGTCTCTTGCATGTACTGTATGTGCCCAAGCTGAAGGGTGATGGTCACAGTACAAATGCCTGGATGGAGAGATAATGTTAATTAAAGACATTACATGTACTACTGGAGACAGTTCTAATGAGTGAAGCAGCTTGGTTGCTCTTCACACACAGAAAAATGACACTTATATTATTCAGATAAATGAATTATGAACACATGGCCCTACAAATACCAATTCCATATTTTATGGTGTTCCCTGCCTCAATAATTCCTATTCATCGTGGTGTGGGAAACCTTAATAGGCACCAGCAGGAAACACAAGTGTGGATACTGGTTATCCATCATTGTTCCTTAATGCAATGAAACCCAGACTAGAGAGTTCATCCTGTAGGGAGTTCTCCATTCACCCAGTTGATCAAAATCGGAATGTGGAAAAAAACCAAAGCTTTGATAAACATGTATCAGAGGGATACATCCCAACTAGAACACACTCAGGGTAAAGACCTGGGCGTCATTGATAGCAGCTCGACGGAAACACCTGCTCATTTGCAGTAGTGACCAAAACAAAGACAATGTTTGGATGCCTAAGGAATGGAATGGAGAATATCCTGCTCTGGACATGTGCTCAGTTTTGGACACCCAGTCTCTATAAAAGATATAGCAGATAGAAAGGGGGTTTCTGAGGCACACTATGAGAATGGGGGAGGCTGCCATATGCGGACTGAAAAGTCTGGGACTGTTTAGTTTAGAGAAGAGACAAAGAAGGGGGCTTATGATAGAGGAGAGGAAAATAAAGAGTGGAACTGATTACATTCAAATCGACAAATAGAGAACAGCTCCCAAACAGTAATATCTATGGACACTCCGTGCTTCAAAACGGCTAATTCCCCAAAGCTGAAGCAAATTATCAGCAAAACTGATTGGGAGGATAAATGTCAAGAGAAAAATGTGAATGAGAATTGGGTGTTGTTTACGGAGAGTTTGTTAGACAGCTAATAAGCCACAATTCCGCAGTCAAGAGTGTAGACAACTTTGGCTAAAAACCCTATTCGGTGGCAAAGGGAAGGCAGCAATTAAGGGGGGGAAATCTATCTATCTATATATAGTGACAAAGCGCCAATGTTGTTTCAGTGGGTCCCACGCTTCCTGGCGGATTATGCTAGCCTCAGAGGCTCACTATGATCATCTAGGTAGCCCCTCTCTCTATAGAGGCAAGGGTCACAGCCTACTGAGTTAGTTTCATCATAAGCCAGCAAGGGAGGTGGGAAGAAGCAACCCTCCCTTACACCATCTCTGTTGTCTCACAGTCTCTGTGATTAATCGGGGAGAGGGAGGGAGCCCTCTACTCTGGACTCCACCCCAGGGTCCCTAATAGAAGCAGCTATTGGTAACTGACTTTTTTGAAACAGGATGAGTACAATTCCCTGGGCCACTTCCCCACAGCATCCCCCCAATTCCTCAGCATCTTCTTCACCCTTACCACAGGACCTCCTTCCTTTTGCCTAATAGGATTTGTACTACCCACTTTCCCCAGCAGCGCGGCTTCCTCCTACAGCTCCTGACACGTGCCTCTAACTTACTAACTGGGAAGCTTTTAACTAGTTCCAGCCAGCCCTTGATTGGATTCAGGTGTCCCAATCAAACTATCTGTCTCCACTACTTTGTAGAAGGATCTTAATTGGCGCCAGGTGACTTGATTAATCTGGAGCAATTGCCATTGGTTACCATTGTAAGAGGGATTTGTTTAGCCTGGGACTAACATACCTGTTTCTCACTAATTTCCTATAGACATCTGGCCTTGCCCCGTCACTATATGTGTATATATATAAAAATATATATACACACACATACATACGTACACACACACTGACTCTATAATCAGGCAGAGAAAGGCAGATTAAGATGAAATGGCTGGAAGATAAAGCCAGACAAATACCAGCTGGAAATAAGGGCCAAATTTTTAGGCCTGGGGGTGATTAACATATGGCACACACTGCAAAGGGAAGTGGTGTATTCTCCAGCTACGCATGTCTGTAGATCCAGACTGGTCGTTTTTTCTGGAAGATCTGCTTGAGGACTTATCTACACTTAATATGCTACAGTGGCACTGCCTGAGCGCTTCAGTGTAGACACTACATACACCCATGGCAGGGGTTCTCGCATTGGCGTAGGTAATCCACCCCCCCAAGAGGTGGTAGCTAAGTGGATAGAAAAATTCTTCCATCGACCCCATGCAACTATATCAGGGTTAAGTTAATATAGCTACATCTTTCAGGGGTGTGGTTTTGTTTCCTTTGCAAAAAAAAAAAGGAAATACAATTTCCGGGTGCATTAGCAGAGGCATAGCAGGCAAGTCAAAGGAGGTGGTCTTGATTAGGCCTCAGCTGGAGTACTGTGTCTAATTTTGGTTACCAATGTATAGGAAGGATGTAGAGAAACTCGAAATGACCAAAGACAAGCGACAACAATGATGTAAGGGATAGAATTCAAGCCATATGAGTAAAGGCGGAAGGAACTGGGTATGTTTAGTTTGGAAAAAGGAGATTAAGGGGGACATGGCAGCCGTCTTCAAATACTTGAAAGGCTGTCACAAAAAAGATGGAGAAAAGTTGTTCTCTCTTACCATTGAGGGCAGGACAAGAGGCAGTGGGTTCAAACTGCAGCACAGCAGATTTAGATTAAATCTCAGGATAAACTGCCCAACAGTAAGAACAGGAAGAATAATAGAACAGACGCCTCGGAAAATCTAGGAGGCTCCTTTACTGAAGGTTTTCTAAAGGGGGCTGGCAGTGATCTGACCTGCATGGCTTAGACATAACAAATCCTGAATCTTGGCAGGGGGTTAGATTAGCTAACCCTGGCGGTTCTTTCTCACCCTGTGGCTCTAGGATTCTATGATATAAATCTCCAGCGTAGAACAGGCGTTAGTCAATCACAGGTCATAGCGCTTAATGCAGGGGTATCTGGGTGAAATTTAATAGCCTTTGTTATTCAGGAATTCAGTCTGGATGACCTAATGTTTCCTTTCAGCCTTATGCCCTATGAACCTATCAATAAAGAAAGTAGATCATGCATTTATATTTACTCTGTCTTACAACACACGGACAAAGGAACATTGAATTCCATTGAAAGTCTGAACATATAACACTGAAAAAGGAAAATTGTTCATGTAATCTATACTTGGCCTGTGGAACTCCTTACCACAGACATTACTGGAGCAAAGAGTTTAGTTGAATGGGATTCACAAATGGATGGGCCATTGTAGGTAGTGCTGGGGGCACCACTGTTAGTTAAGGCAGTCTGACATCTTCAATTAGGAGACCTCATTTTCAGTTGCTTATAAGTTTGCCAAACTTTAAACATTTGGACTAAAATTTCACATGCTGGGTGTCTGCTTCCGGCTGAATTGTTTTTTGAATATCCATCATAACGTTTGAGCTGCATTCTCAAATGGAGCTAGGAGAAAAGATGTGTTGCCCATGTTGAAAAATTCTTATAATTGTTCAAGTGAGGAGCCCAAGCACCTCCATGGAGATAAAAGTCAGGTAACAGCCCCTGCTCCCCTATTAACAACCAGAGCCCTGAAATGCAAGAGGAGAAGGTGATAGTGTCTCTACATTAACACACAGCTGGCTACTGAGGTCTTTACTCCATTCTTACTCCAAAGGGAGTTTTGCCTCAGTGGGGCCTGGGTAAATTATGGGCCGGGGCCTCAGAATTTGGGCTTATATTGTCCATCTACCAACACCTTTCATCCTGAAGGATCCACTGTGCCAGTGAAATGCAGCCACCTTGGGGCTGGAGGCCATCAGCCCGGGAGGGCACAGCAAAGATGGACATTTTAACCCATGATAATGAAGCAAACTCATCCCCTGTGGCAAGTGCCCTTGGATGTTTAATGGCTGTGCAGAGTGGAAAGGACCACACACCTAATATTTATCCCGTTATACCCACTTTTTACTGGGTTTGTTAAGCAGGTGAGATCCGCAGCAAGAGATGGGTACCTGTGAATTCTTAGATGGAAATGTCTTCCCTGGGAATCCCCCTCAGGTAGCCGTGTCCCACACGTCTCTCACCCCAGCATCTGCAGCAGCATCCCACACCGAGAGCCGACACAGGGGTGCGAACCATTTATAATATAGCTCTGTGCAATCCCAGAGAGGTTCACTCAGCCTCTAGTGAATAAGCAAGCAAATGAATGCAAACAGCCTGAAGACAAGCCTGTCTGGAATTCTGTGTTCTTTATCCAGCGTTAGCTGTAAACAGTAATTAAGGGACCTTCCCAAAGGGAGATGAGAACTCTGGGGCTCTGTGCTGAGTCAGAGAGGAATTGGCTGCTCTGTGTATTTGTGTATATTTAAAATTTATAGTTGATTAGTAGGAAAACTAGGGATGATGCTTAAAACTCTATAGGGTCTGATACCCTGTAAGTCCCAAGAGCGATGGTAAATAGTTGACAGACAGGTCTATAGAAAGATGCCTGAGGGGAGACACCAGCACTTTCTGCAGGCACATGGTGCTGTTACTAAGGGATCAGAGATCAGAAATTCTCACTAGTAACTATCATACTGTGCAGCACCTTTCATTGAAGAATGTTCAAAACACCTAGCAAAGGAAAGTCA